GTGTTCAACGCACACTTCGTGAGTATTTGTGTTTATATACCCTATTAATCAGCTGTTTTTGAAATTCAATGTGTTTTCTATTAGGTTGTTTGTTGTATAGATTTGCCGATGATTTTTTTAATCTTTGAATATATGCAATTCTCTTTGGTTGTTTTCGTAGCTGTGTATCCTGTGTTGGTAGTCGCTGGGCCTGTGATTGGTGTGTGTTTGAGAACAGATGTACTCATGAAAGCTCCACATGCACACGACCTAATGAAATCATCATTACTGGAGATAACGTGAGAACAAAAATATACGAGCTAAGCCAAGACAAAATTTGAAGAAAAAAAAAACGTTTTACTTAAATTTCTTGATTGTAGAATCCTATATGTAGATGAATATTGTGTATTTTGCGCAGTAGGTATTGAAAATGACACTAATTGTCATGTACACTTGGAAGTATCTGAAATCACATTTATATTTTGGACACTAGATAATTTCTATCAGCTTTCTGTAGATCATAAGTTCAAATCGAAGCAGATGTATATTTTTGGGGAGGTCATGACATAGTTTGTTGTTTGTTGGCGTTTACCTACAGAATCCAACCGCCTCTGCAGTCACAGGACCTGAGTTTTGCCTTCAGCTGCTGAACCAGACTGCTGAAGTTCTGCTTCCTAATAACATTATGAGGAGCATCACTGTCATGACAACAAACCTGCCAGACGAAGCTGAGGTTAGTTTATCAATGGCTGGGGAAAAACAATGTCAGTTTGTAACTGATGTCCACGTTAAGCCCCGTCTATCAGAAAATTCCCCCGTCAATGCCTGATAGTGACATTGTTCATAATTTTTCTGAGTCCAGTTAACACTTTGTTTAATTCTTTCTCGAAGACAAATTACAATTTCTCCTTGGGATACTTAATAAAATAGTTTGCTATAATGCTATTAGTCTAGATATCTGACCTTCTTTATGACATTCAATGCAAAGTGAATTGCGAAGTTATCATTTATTGTTTGATAAGAAGATCTTTTGGACCGTATGCACTTGAGGTGGGCCCGGTGCAGTTTGCAAATGTATATCATCGTAAACATTGCATGCGCTTAGATATAGGTTAATGTTGTTTGGATAATAAGCTGCAATTGTCCTTTGGTGGCATGCAAATCATTATGCATGTCTACATTATATCGGTTAACCTTTATTGGATTTGCTGAATAACTGCATTAAAAATGTTGGCATCGCATTGTATTGAGCTTTTAAAGAACGCTGTTTACTTTATAAGACCTTCACTGAAGTCTATGAAACGCAGATATGATGGGATTAATACTGCCGAGTAAATCTTAAATTTACTCTTCCCTGACTCACTTAACTGTGTAGATCAATATTAGTCGTGTGTTTTTCCCATGTGCAGATTTCTAGCTATCGGTGCAGCTTAGATGTAGAGGGATCACCTCAGGCTATTAATGCAGAACGCATTGGAGATAGGATCACATGCCAAGATAAGGCTGTAAGTTAAATTCCAACTTATTTTGTGACTTGGATTGCTAATGTGGTTCTTTTTTTATATAAGAATGAAAGTAATCACTTATTATGCATACTAACAGGTGATTGTTTGCTTGCCTTGAACAGTACACTTACCTCTCCGATGATGAACCAGAGCTGGAAGTGGGACTGTCTGTTTCATGGACTGACACAAGCGGTGCTTTGCACATCCTGGACGACATACATGAATTTGATGGTAAGGAATAAGGACCGATTGATAATAATTTGAGGAGATTTACGATTTCGTCAGTCTAAAATATTTATACATAATTATATTATTATCCAATGAAATCGTCTTCTGTCAAAATTCACAGTGCTCGATACATTTCTGTAGAGCTATAATCATGCCATAAATTCAGAATATGAGCTAATCAAGCTTTGGTATATCTCTCCTCTGGACAGACTGTTTCGTACCATAAGGCACTTATCAGCAGATGAGTGCCTTATGGTACGAAACAGTCTGTCCAGAGGAGAGATATGCCAACGTTTGATCAGCTCATATTCTGAATTAATTGCATAATTATATTATTATATATAATATGAGATTATTTCCAAAACGTGAAAAACGTCAGTTTGTTACCTTTTAGAATCACACCCACTCCTGGCTGCCCAAAGTCAGTATCGAATTTAAGAATACAATAAAGCGAAATGATGTTTGTTTAATATTCTTTAAAGTTCAGAACCGTGCAAATTACTTTTTTTGAAATGGGTATATCGCGTTATTAAAAAAAAATCTTCATATGCTTTTCATCGTTTGTTATCAACAGTTTTGACTTGGAGGTTGTTCTTTAAAATGCCGAGTTGAAAGACATGAGATTATCTTGTATTCTGCTCATATCAAACAGTAACGTTGTACAAGTGTGAAGTCCAGAAGCCAGACTGCAGCCGTTGTGTTACAGCCCGCCCAGCGCTCGAATGTGTTTGGTGTGGTGCCATGCCAAGCGAATCTGGTGTTTGCAAACTGAATGAAGTTTGCAGTGAAAATATGGTGACTTTGGATAACGGATTGAACTGCCCTGATCCACTTCTGAGTGAGGTAAGCCATAAACTCTCCAGCTGAATATTATTCGCTTGAATATTCTTTATTAATATTCCAGGCGAGGTTACTTGTCAACGTGTTTGTAATTATCCATATTTATCACGAAGTATGGAAGACTACTGCCTCCAAATGAAGCACACCTTGTATCCATTTGACCTGCCTTTGTGACAAGGTAAAAAAGGGAAATTTAGTCATGTGCGAGATGAAAAACCCCAATTCGTATGACTGCATAAGCAAAGGTGTATGGTCTATAAAGTAGGCTTATATTATGGATGACTGCATATGAGCCACCAAGCTGAACAAGTTGTCTTTCAAGAGCATTTACCAATGCATCTTTACTAATAATGTGTTGTATTGAAATGCTTGTTTCATGTTACATGCACTTGTTTTTGTGTGTTATGTTATTATGTTTCCAAAATCACGCATTAGGTATTTCCCTTGACTGGGCCCATTGAAGGCAACACAGTTATAGATGTGATGGGAACTGATATCGGTCGGAGATTTGAGGATGTCGTGTCAGTGATGGTTGGCAATCAGCCCTGTGATCTGGCTGGATTAAGCTCAGCCTACCAAATTGGAGCAAGGTAGGGTCAAATCATACTTTATGCAAGGACATTACCTTGTACTTTTGTTGCCATGTTGTGGAACATTGTAAAATTTTAAAAGTGTACATAGTGGATAAGGTTTTGCTCAACCTCTTTGTCTTAATGTCACATTATCACTTTATATTTCAGTGTCAGCTGCAGAACGAGACCAGAAAGTGAAGAAGCTGAGTTGGTTACTTTAACAGTCACGGGTGCAGATGGTACTACACTGCAGCACAGCTCAGGAACAGTCAACTTCAAATTCAAAGTAAGTCACGTCCTGCACGCACTCGTTTACACTGACTCAGCCACTGAGGTCCAGCTTGGAAAATGAACAAGCGTCCAAGAAAATGTTTTTACACTGAAATAGCAATCACGGAATGAATGATCAAGAATGAGGTCCAGATCTGTTCACGAATGTTCCCTTCCTAGCAGTTCGGCACCACATTATGTCAGCTGGAGCAATAATAACATATATTTTAGCTGCATTAGTTGATAATCTCATACCAAAACATTTATGTTTGAGTTGAGGATATTTGGGAAAATCCCAGGCATTTGAGTGAATTTCCTAAAACGTAGGTCAGATTTACGTTTGAAACGTCAAAATATTTAAAATCAATAATACTCGAGGATTCTATGCACGTGTAACTAGAAAATACTTATTCCAACAATAATATAATTTTTATAAGATGGAATGTTTGCGTCGGGGTGATATAAATCAAATTATGTTTTGCCCTTCACCTACGTTTAAACACTGTATACTCAGTGTGTAACCTCCCGAGTGAAAGTTGGAAAAAATCACTCGGGTGGGACTCGAACCCACGACCTCCTGCTTTCTAGTGCAGATGTCTTACCATGCACTCAACCACCGAGCTAACGGGATCGGTTGGCTGGTTCGAATCTGATGTACATAGCAGCGGGTACCGCATATTTTTTATATAAGATGGAATTTTGCGTCGGGATGATATAAATCAAATAAGGTTTTGCCCTTCACCGACGTTTAAATACTGTATACTCAGTGTGTTACCTCCCGAGTGAAAGTTGGAAAAAATCACTCGGGTGGGACTCAAACTTTTACTCGGGAGGTTACACACTGAGTATACAGTGTTTAAACGTCGGTGAAGGGCAAAACCTAATTTGAATAATATTATTGTTGTAGAAATTGTGTAAGAGACAAACACAGTTCTAAAATTGTTTTTATAAGATGTATTTTGTTAACAGGACCCATCGATTACACATTTCCAACCCCGCCTTGGCCCAGAAGCCGGTGGGACGGCAGTTAGTGTGAATGGCACAGCTCTCAACACAGGACGCAATATTGAAGCGTTCATCGGCGACAATCCTTGCAGCATAACAATAAGGTATTGTGCCTTTTTCTTAATACACGTCATTATTCAATTTGTTGCGCATACGGCAAAAATCGAAGCATTGTCTAATTTTTCCCTTAGTGGAATGACATTTATTGAAGCATTCATTGGAAACAAATAACAGTGTTTTGTACGATAATTATTAATTCAGGAAAAAGAGGGATCTCCCCAACATCGGTACAATTTCTTGTTTTAACAAGATCATTTGGATCTCTATCAAGCTTCAGTTGCTTAAATTTTTCTTAAAAAGGTTTTCCTTTCCCACCTTTGTGGAACGGCTTTTGTTAGTTATATATTTCATTATAAAAAACTACTTTATCCTGTCCAATTTCCAATTACCTTGAAAAATAATTGCTTTACATCTATTCAGTATTAAGGAGCATCATAAACAGAGATGAATTCACGTTTACGTCTCTGCAGAAAACTTTACATGGCCTCTGTCTCAAGTGATTTTTTTCTTTCCCAAATTGTAAAGCAAACCGGTTGAATCCATGCTAGAATGCACAACCACTGCTGGCCAAGTTGGATATCAAGGTGTTGTGAAAGTCTCCTTCGATGGAGCCATGAGAACCTCAGCAGATCTGTACACGTACACTGAGAATCCCACCATTACTGAGGTCTCTCCTCTTAAAAGCATCGTTTCGTGAGTCTGCATGATTTTTTTTGTCTTCATCTGTTTTAACATGATGGGCTAGTTTGTATAGCTTTTTTGGTATATAGTGTTTTTGGTATATACTTCAATTTGTATCGACCACATTATATCTACCTAGTTTTTATTACAGCCTCTATTGTCCTATGAAAATGTCTGTGTTTTAAATATAGCTTTTTGGTATAGTGTTTTTTTGGTATATACACAAACCAGAAAATGGTCCTGGTATTAGTGAAATGTTATGTTTCTGTTGTTAGATACGCGATACGCTGTCAAGTAGCAAGCTTGCAGCCAAGTTTATGCATGGCTGTTTTCAGAAGCAGACTAATACAAATCTTCTTATTACTGAAGACAACTGTTAACTGAGTGAACAGTGAACTATTATGCTTTATTCTTGAAGACAACTGTTAACTGAGTGAACAGTGAACTATTATGCTTTATTCTTAACTTCCAAATGTCATTTGCTCAAATATCTGAAAGTGAACATGTTCGTGCATTTCTAAATTGTTTAGAGTGGTGTTACCCAGCCCATATCTTTCAGTGTATAGAATATATTTTCAGTATTTGCTATCGGTATTTTAATTGTCAGGGGTGGTCGAATGTTGACGGTTACTGGCACTTTTCTAAACACAAGTAGAAACCGTCAAATCGTTGTCACTAATGCAAATGAGGTGAGAAATGTGTTATACTTATTATCTGTATAAACGATTTTATATCTGTCCTATCCTTGCTCAACCTCCCTTATTATATCTACTTGCTCCACTCTTCCAGCATATATAATTAGGAAACATTTAAAACTTCTATTTTGCTAAGTTACCGCAAACGACCACTTTAAATGTGAACATTGCAATAAGGGTACTATGTAAAGAATGACAGCCATTACATCATTAAACACATTTCTGTTTTGAAGTAGAAACAAAGAGGGGTGCAATTGTCAACTGAATTGTCAACTGACTGATGTGGGTCTTTATTTTGCAGGAATGTCAAGGTGAATCTGCATCAGAGATGCGGTGCCCGTCTCCTAACATAACAGACCTCGACATGAGCAATGAAAACTTGACCTTTGGCTTCATCATGGATGGGGTCACTCAACTGTTGACATGGTCTGAGGATAACGATGCCGACTTGGAGTATTTTGAGGATCCACTGTATAACAAATTTGAAGGTGGTATGAAGGAAAAAGAAGGAGAAACCTTGAATATCACGGTTGGTATAGCGTGTCTTATTCTATGCGCCTGTCCTATCATCGTTTTTTTCTATCTGTATATAGATATGGGTCCTGTCGGTTAACGTGCACGAAGCACACTTATACAGTGCTTTGTAAAGTGAAACGGGGGCCGCCCGATAGTCCGAAGGTCCGATAGTCTGAAGGTTCTTTAGTCCGAAGGTTCGATAGTCCGAATGCACAAAATTTCCATAAGAGGGGGTTCGTTAGTCCGAAAATGAAATAAGGTTCGTTAATCCGAACATTTGATGCAATAGTCCGAAGGTTCAATAATCCGAAGGTTCATTTGTCCAAAGGTTCATTTATCAGAAGGTTCGATAGTCCGAATTTCGAATAAGGCTAATCAGTCCGAAGGTTTAATATTCCGAAACGAAAATAAGGTTCAGTAGTCCGAAGGTTCCTTATTCCGAATTGACAACAAGGTTCGATAGTCCGAAAAGACTATAAGGTCTGATAGTCCGTATCGACAAAAAAGGTCCGATAGTCCGAATCGACAATAAGGTCCGATAGTCCGAATCAACAGTAAAGTCCGATAGTCCGAAGTGTCATACTAACGAACCGTGTTGCCCATTCGGACTATCGAACCTTATTCTCAATTCGGACTATCGAACCTTCGGAATAATTAACCTTATTCTATTTTCGGACTAATGGGCCCTTCGGACTATCGAACCTTCGGATTATCGAACCTTCGGACTATTGAGCCTTCGGACTAAAGAACCTTATTCTCAATTCGGACTATCGAACCTTATTGTCAATTCGGACTATCGAACCCTACCATATATTCGGACTATCGAACCTTATCATCTATTCAGACTATCGAACCTTATTGTCAATTCGGACTATCGAACCCTATCGTCTATTCGGACTATCGAACCTTCGGAATAATTAACCTCATTCTATTTTCGGACTAATGGGCCCTTCGGACTATCGAACCTTCGGATTATCGAACCTTCGGACTATTGAGCCTTCGGACTAAAGAACCTTCGGACTATCGAACCTTCGGACTATTGGGCTGTAACCAAGTGAAACACCTCTCATATGTGACTCAAGATAACTTTAAGTTGATATCTCTTCCTCCTGAATCAAGTGGATCTTCCCAAAATACACTAGGCCTATCTTGGTAACTCTTGCTGAGTTACAAAATTTCATATCAAACTCAGATCAGTCATTGCAAAAGCAAATGTAAATGTGATGTGAAATAAAAGTTGAGATTTTTTTTTTACCTCAGTCCTCACACGGTGTGTAGAAGTACATGTACATGAAAAACGACAAAAATTCTTACGTGTGATACAGCCATATGACCTTCGTATTTAGAAATAAATAAAAGTGTTGAGCATTAATTGTCACAACCGAAAAGACTAAACTCTTCCGAAATATACCAATGCAGATACCAATACATTTCCTTTAAAACAATTTAACTTAAATTACCTGTGGATGTTTCAACAGGGCGAGCGGATTGACAGCGCCATCTCAGAGGGAGAAATCATCGTGAAGATCGGCGTAGAGAGATGTCCCGTTAGCCTGATCACTGATTCAGCACTCGTATGTGAATTGCCCGAGGAGGCACCAGCAGCCGATGACTACATGGGAGGAGATACCGGGAAAGGTCTGCCTGTGGTATGGGTAAGTAAGGGGCGGATCAATTTTTGAATTGAGGGGGGGGGGTAGCTGTAAATTGTTCTTTTCTTTCGAGATTTTTCCTTCTTGTGCGGCCCCAAGGGGGAGATTTATCCCCTTACCCTCCCCGTATAGATCTGCCACTGTACGCCTTTACAGACTTGCGGGTAATTTTTTATTGTGCTAATTTGATATTATCCTTAAAAACACCTTAAAAAAATGAAGTTTTTCTGAAGCTTTTCAACAAAAGTTTAAGTACAACCTTGTAAATGTGAAGTTCTTTCTCAGTTTTTGTTCAATTGTTTTTAACATTATGAATAGTAAACCAATTAGAAAATTGGAATCAGTATTTCTCCGGTCAAAGAATTTCATAATATTCGGTCATTACACTCCTGAAATCTAAAGAGAAGACCCCTCTGGCTGTAAAATGACCAAGAAAAGCGGCGCATCTAGGATTGAATATTATTAAGCTATGTTTGAACATTGTTCCTCAGATTGATTGAACATCTGTATTACTCAATCCGAAAAGTTCAAAAAACACCCAAAATTCGGCCAGTTCTCCCCAAAACGTAATTACACTACTTTGTCATTGTTGATTGTTTCTTCAAAAGTGATTATTATACCGTCGACATTAACAAATTGGTTAAGTTTATGTCAGTTGTTGAATCGTTTATTCAAGTCTATGTTGAATAGTTTATTATTTCATTTGTGTTATTCCATAGGTTCGCCACAATAACTTGAAATTCAGGTTGGGCTATTTGGTCTATCCCAGTACGGTGCCACTTGTCGCTATACTTGTACCGAGTTTGGTCATTCCACTCTCCATGGCAATACTGCTCGCTGCTACCTTTGTGTATTGCAAACAATTGCAAAGGAAGCGCACCCACGACCGAAGACTATTGGGCAGGATAGTGGCGATTCATCTCGGTAAGTGCTGGTGGCAAGAGATGACTTCAGTTTACTCGAATATTTAATTCCTGAGTGCTAGAAACAGGTGCACAAAACTGCGGTGAAGAGAGAGTATCATCTCAGTCTATATAAGTATGCTCTTGTAAGTTAAAATCACTTGATTGCAAGACGGCGAAATGGTAAACATCACGAAACCCTTTAAAATTTCAAAGCCAATTATCCTTCATCACTAGTGTATACCGGCAACATATCAATTCTTTATTTTCAAACATAATTATGATAGTTTAGAAGAAAAAAAAACAGTACGTAGCTGTAAATCTCTGTATTGAATTATGTTCTACTTCTAAAAAAAAAACTCTCAAGATGGCTGCTAACGGGCAGCCGGTTTAGATGGTAAAATACATGGCAAAAGAATTCAAATGGCGTGCTCCTCATTTGACTGTAAATTGTCAAGTTGTAGACAGGATGAAACAAATTTCCCTACAAAAACAAAAATAAATGTAGAACTCTTTAGTCAAGATTGTGTTTGCCATTTTAGACAACTTGTGAATCTTGTGTAGCATGCAAAGGTTGTTTTGTCTGTTGATTTGTAAGCCTGAACGTGCTCGTAAACTTACCACTATATTACGTTATTTACTGTTAATGTGACATTGTATCTCTTTTCTTCAGAAGTTGACTCCCACGTCAAAAGACGCAGGTGGTATAGATCCCAGAAACAGTCGGAATCTGCTCAGCCAAAACAAAAGCGCATTGTCCTGAACAACAAGGTCAGCTTCGTTCCCGACGACGTTCACATCGACTTCAGCCAACTGGAATTGGGAGAGACTCTCGGACAAGGTAGTGACTTTGTTCGAGAAAACAATGAACGTTTCATGAGTTCAAAGTGTAAGCTGTTATTTTACCTGAGAAGGAGAGACCTACATAAAGGGGCTGTGTGTGCAAACCGTTATTGGCGTGATTGAAACACATTTTCACGTTTCGACCTTTAGGAAATTATTTGGACTCGGCCAGTCGCTGGGTCTGTTAGTAAGTCGGTAGGTCGGTTGGTCTGCCAGCTGGCTAGTTCTTCAGTACCAGCAAAAGATAATCAGCAAAGATGAGTATAAAACACTTGAATACATTTTACAGGTGCATTTGGGCGTGTACTGAAAGCTGTTCTACACGATACGTCAGGGGAAGATCAAATTGTGGCCGTAAAGACAGTGCAAGGTTGGTGATGAGAATGTCGGCCATTTGTGAGAGATGTTTTCTATGACAGTATCATGGATTCAAAACAAAGCATTGAAAAGTTGTTCCTCGGTTAAAAAAGGGCCCATTTCAGAATGGTATGCATTTTGGTCTTGATTATACTTGTTGCTGATTAGAGTTACAGAAGAGGTGTTGGATGACCTTATACCGAGAAAGAGGAACGAAAAAACGTTAATCAATGTGCATCTTGAATGAAAGAGCCGAAAGAGTCTTTTCATTCAGAATTGCGAGTTGTTGGTTGTAAAATGTTCTTGAACTGAATTGAATGTGTCTCTGGGTTATTGCATTTCTGTGGTGATGAAAATAAGTTGAAATACAAGTTCCTGTTTTTGTGTAGTAGCTTGGCCAAATGTAAGTTGGGCGTGCCAGTTAACACATATAAATGCCTTATTTTTGCTTGTAGACACCTCGGACCCGAAAAATGTGGTGAAGTTCCTGGAGGAAGGCCTGATCATGAAAACCTTCGACCATGTCAACGTGCTGGGGCTTCTGGGGTTGACCTTTGACGCGGTCAAAAACCCCTTGGTGGTGATACCCTTCATGGCCAACGGTGACCTCAAGACATATCTGGTCAAGAAGAAACAGGTATGTAGTCAAAAGCGATCAATGTCGATAATAATAAATAGAGGAAGGTTTGATAAAAGAAATGGTGATGAGTGGCATGAGTTTGGAACTGACTTAATGGTGATTTTGGTAGATGTTGTTACGTTTGATAATTAATAGTTCACTCACGAGATTTATTAAACAAAATGCTGTCCCATTTCGTAAACAGTATGTCATGTGTTTTGTTCTGAGTGTGGTATTTATTTATTCATTGGAGGTTTTTACTTTCAATTTAGACCTTGGCGACATCTCTGCTGATGAGGTTTGCCTCACATGCCGCACTCGGTATGAGTTACTTGGCTCAGCACAAGTTTGTCCACAGAGATCTTGCGGCCAGAAATTGCATGTAAGTGTATCTTCTCTTCTTTATCATCAGGGGCTTTTACACATGTCTTTATATGTGTGTTTGAGTAAAAGCAAAATGAATGTTACGAGAAATCGGTCAGCTGTTTCATCGAAAATAATTTTAATGCACCAGAGATACCAAGGGACATGCATTCATTGAATTAACTCCAGAGTTCGAATTAATGGCATTGCAATTCTTAAATGATGTGACCCCAAAGTAAGATCAACGTTTAACTACCTCTTTAGGGTGAACAGTGATCTTCTGGTGAAGATAGCGGATTTTGGACTATCCCGTGACATGCACGAATCGGATTACTACACAAGCGGCGATGCCCAGGCTAAGCTGCCTATCAAATGGATGGCTCCCGAGTCCATGGAACGTCGAGTGTACAACGCCAGGACTGACGTGGTACGCAATTAAATCCATCTTTGATTGGAATGTTAGATGATGTTTAGATAAAGATCTTAACGGAAAAAGAAAGCAAAACACATCTCTTTGTGTTCTGTGGAACTATCCTTCGAAGAGAAATTACATGAACTTCGATGTCCGGTCATGAAACGTCAATTTATTGATAATGTACATCGAATATGTTTTCAAGGCGCCTGACCCTCATTAGCTAGAGTATTTCGTCTTAAGACGCCCACCTCGAACTGATTTCTAAGTTAACTTAGTAATAAACGTTTTTGTTTCAATTTGATACAAGATCTCATTAAACAGTTCAATAAAGACTCAAATACAATGTGGTTTGGTCAATTATCGTTAATCTTGGCTACCCTTTCCAGCTTGCTCATGTCAACTGTTTGGTAGCTCAATTGAACAAACATCATTAGAATGGTCTCTTACACTCTTCTTTGGTCTTCTTTGGTTTTCTACAGTGGTCATACGGTGTGCTCCTGTGGGAGATTTTCAGTAAGGGTGCAAAACCGTATCCAGGAATTCCCAACCAAGATGTGTATGATTTCTTGAAGAGAGGTCAACGCATGGATGCTCCCAAGAACTGCCCGCCAGAAATGTATGTTCAAACAGCGGTCACCATTACCTTTAAATAATAACACATCTAATGCCGTTTTAACTTCTGTAAATGTATGCATGATTCTTTTTATATATTTTACTCAAATTTTTCTTAATGTATCTTTTTTACTCTCAAAGGTTTTTCATAATTGAAAGTAGGTATAACACTCTCTAGTTGTGAGAAACAGTGAAGAGTGTTTTGTTTGGGGTTTCAAATGAAAAAAAGGGAAACTCAATTCTCGAACATTTCTCTCAAAAATGTAGGGTTAATGTGCTCGAGTAATCAGTAATAATGGAAAGTGTATTGTCGGGGGTTTCACGTAAAAATGCAAACAGAATTTGATATACGATCAAGCATGCAGCATCTAATGATTCTTGTTACATTTGCTGACTGATACAGCTACGGCATAATGGTACGTTGCTGGCAGGACAACCCCAAGTCACGTTGCACCTTCGTCCAAGTTGCCAACGAGCTGGAAGAACTGTTGGAGGGAGACCGTGACTACGTAGCAGCTCCTAGTGCGCGTGTGGTTGGTAAGCGACCCATCAAACATCGCGAAGAACCTGGTGTCACAGACGACAGCTATCTGGTCCCGATGCAGCAGGAGACTGCCTTTGGTGTTGACGGCCCGTGTAGTGACGGAGAAACCAGCGGGAGCCATGCGACCGCCGCCCATGATCCCTTGGATTATGTCAATAAAATTGTCATTAGATAAGTACTGTGCAAATTGATTGCAAATGATAACTTGCTGATTTGGAAATTTCTGCACAGATTCCTGCAAGCTGCACAAAGCATTGATATAAAAAAGTTATCAGGAAATTAACGACTGTCGGTATCGCCAGAAAACTAGAAGGAACAAACAATGCTAGCAATGTTATTGTATTTAACGTATTGTACACAGGTTTTTCCAGCATTACATAATTGACATTATATTTTGGAATACCTGTAAAGGAGTTATATTCTTAGTGGAAAGATGGCACGTGCATATATGCATTTTTCTGCAAAATAAATATGAAATGAAGCTCATTTTATTGAAACGATATCTTGTTTACCTTAAAAATTTACATTTTGTTTGGTGAAAGGACAGTCTTATGTCGAAGGTGTTCTTTATATGCAAGGTATTGGAAGCTGCTCAATGGTTGCCTAGTAAATGTTCAAAAACAACTTCACATAATAGGTTAAAAAAAACCCACCAGAAACAGTTTGTAAATTCCTGCGAAAAACTTATTTTAAAAAGTCGTGGAGTTAGGAGATCTGACAATGATTGTAGTTAGTACCGGGTGCTGTATAAATGCTGATATTTGTTATTCAATTGACTTAAGATAATCTTGCTTTTGGATCATTATTTCATTTATTTGATAGATGGATACATTTTTAATCATTTTTTTTTAATTTAGATTATTAGCATTGCATAGTAACTGGTGTATTGCTAACATAGCCAATATTGAGTTTCTGTTGAAAATGTCAAGACAAATTTTAGTTCAGATGTGTTGCATTACGTACAATATTACAGGTTAAGATTAATATCAAATTATTACGCACAGGACAGCATTTAGGTTTGGCTGAGGCAAGAATGCTTTTGAAGCCTAACCTAGGGACAGACAACAGGACCGACAGGACAAAGGACTACAACAACAAATGAGTGTGCATAGAGGTACTAAGACATAACATTACGAGATAAATTAAACATTACAGTTATAAATATGCATCAAGAAGGTTTTTTTTTAGCTTTTCGACAAATATAGTCTGTGATGGTGACTTTTTTCAAAGATTCACTAAGACTGTTCCAGTAATTTACACCACGTTGAATAAGACTGTTTTTAAACAAGGACGTTCGACTGTAACCAACATGGATATTTTATCTAGGAGCACTTCCAGTATTTTGTGAATGTATGGTTGATGATAACGTAAAATAGGCCTATATGAGCTAAAACAAGCAGGTAATGCATTATTCATGTACATAAATTTACCTAAATTTAAGTAGTAAATGTCTTTAATTCGTAATAGTTTTAGATTTGCCAATAAGCTAGCAGTATGATCACGGTGGCCAGCATTATAAATGATGCAAACAGCTCGCTTTTGTAACAACAAAAGTTTGTCAAAATTTGCTGAGGAACTACCCCAGTTTAGAACTGAAAAGTTTAAAAATAGGAGAACTAAAGAATTGTAAAGCATAACTAAAATGTTGCTTGGAATGAAGAACTTTAAGCGATTCATTATACCAACGTTTTTGATATCTTGCTCTAGATATCACTTATGTGTTTTTCCATGTAAGATGTTCATCCATTGACACACCAAGAAATTTGATAATCGTGACACGATTTTAATTATATTATTTAAAACAAGTGGAACAGATTGGGTTTACTTTTGTTGTCTTGAAGAAAATATCATATAGTTAGTTTTTAACAGATTTATACACAATTTGTTTGCTAAAAGCCAAGTACTAATTTTTTGAAGTTCAATATTAAAAATCCGAATAGCTGTATCCACATTATTATGGCTGTACACCAAACTTGTGTTATCCGCAAACAAGCAGAATGATTATGATGTCAGATGTATAAGATATATCGTTTATATACAGAATAAATAGTAGAGGACCTAATGTAGAGCCCTGGGGATCACCACAGTTGATAGATTGCTGGTTGAATTTACAGAGTTATAAGAAACAATTTCTTTTCGTTCAGATAAGTAACTTTTGAACCAGTTTAAGGCTACACCACGAATACCATACTTTTCTAGTTTACAAATTAAGATTTCACGATTAACTGTAAAATGTACCATCATCTATGGCTTTGAGCAACTTATGAACAACATACGACGTTGCCAGTTCAGTTGATCGCTTTTCTCCGAATCCGAATTGCGATTCGGACAAAAGGTTATGTTTATTTATAAAAGTTATAAGACGATAGTATATTATTTTTTTCAAAAACGTTTTGAGAATGTAGATAATACTGTTTTAGGTCTATCATTACCAATATTATGTTTGTCGCCACTCTTATATATTGGTGTGACCTTTCCTATCTTTTGACCATTTGGGAAAACACCTGTAACCACAGACTCATTAAAGATACAAGCAAGTGGCTTTGCTAAGACATACTAAGCCTGTCTGATAACAAAAGCACTTGGGCCATCAAAGCCAGGGGCCTTTCCATTAGGAATGTTGTTAAGAATGTCTACAATTTCTTCTTGCGTAATAGGTTTAAAAAAAAGAGAGTTGACCTGTCGATCACGAAGAAAAGATTTAAATGTGGCATTACGTTATTGTAGATTACTTGCAAGTCTAGAGCCAACTTAACAAAATACTCATTAAATGCATCAGCAATTTCTTTGTTACTGTCAATCGTTACACCATCTTGAACAAAATGAAAGGGGTTATCTTTTCGCTTACCCTTATCCAAGTTCCTTTGATATTACCCTTTTCCTGGTTATTTTATTTTGCTAAAATAGCTTTTCTTGGATATTTTGATTAAGTGATTTAACTTTTTTTTACACAGAGTATAATAGATTATTTTGAGAAGTACGATTTTTTAGAAATTTTTTATAGAGATAGTTTTTTTTTCTTATTGAATTATAGATACCGTCTGAAAGCAAGGTGACTTATGTTTGTTATATCGAACTGTACCTCTTGGAGTGGAAAATGTTTATCATAAATTTCGAGAACATGATTTAAAAAAGAGTTATACATATCAGGAATATCGTTCATTGATGTAATAAATGACCAATCAGTAGTACTTTATTCATTTACAAAATGTTCAATATTGTTACTATTAAAATTACGTTTTCTATTATATCTTTGTTCATCTTGTACCTTCTCTCTGAAACTCTCAATAATGAAAAATACTGGTAAGTGATCACTAATATTAGTTACTAAAACACCAGCAGTATGGTTATGTAAGTCATTAGTTAAAATGTTATCAATCACAGTTGCACTACTTTCAGTAATTCTTGTAGGTTTATTTATAGTAGGATAAAGTGATTGAGAAGATAGCATGTCAATAAAGTTATGTACTGCATTGTTTGTGTCATACTGTAATACATTAATATTGAAATCGCCCATTATAAAACACTTTTTTGTTTTCATTGCTAATATTGCTAAAAATGTCATTCATGTGCTCTGAGAAATTATCACATGAAGCACTCGGCAGTTTATACACAACTCCGATTAATACATTAGCAAGCTCAATTAGAGGTGATTCTATTTCATGCACATACAGACACACACAAACACAGACACAATAAACATATACGACAACATTTAAATCATAAATACAAGTATTTATCAGAATAATCTATGACGTGAGGTGATGATTCATGATTCTCCCCCAGACGGAATGAACCCGATCATCTCTCTGGATGCGCCTGAGGTGCATTTCTCTTCGGAGTGACATCATCAGTTATGAAGATGTTCTGACCAGTGTTGTTTTTGAGAAGCTTGGCGGCCATTTTGAGGATGTGGTGTCAATGATGCCGAACTAGAGAATATTTATGGACAAAAGAGATGCATCCTGTACAAAAGATTGAAAAGAATGTTGTACACAAACTACTGTATTTACAGCTGCACGGGAATTGTAAACGAACTGAACTAGTGAATTTGAGCAATACGATTCTAGTGGTGAACTCGACAAATTTTTCAAAAAAACTTTTTTGAAGTGCATACTGCAGCGAAAAAAAAAAATTAAAAAGAAAATCGGCGCTGAATATGTATGAGGTATAGTAAAACAAATATAACATGGTTTATTTCGGGTGGACGGCCGATATTAGCTCCCCTCGGTATTGGAAGTTGACCAACTATAGTTCCCTCGGTTTCGCCCCGGGAACTAGTTTGTCAACTTTCAATACCTCGGGAGCGAATATCGACTGTCCACCCTCAAACCATGTTATATTTGTATATTATACATTGGAAAAGTGTATCCCCTTCACGAACCCCAGACAGTCCACCTTTTTAATTACTGATATTTTAGGCTTTGGGCTGGAAATTGAAAAACGGTACAGGTGGCATTGTTACAAATTCAAGATCACCTTGTCTATACGGTGGTGATGGCGCTTAAAAGTGTCAGGAGGCTTTGACCTTATATTGTAGCCTGTGCATTAATTCCAATCAAATATATGCACATAAGCGTAATTTGGACAGGCGGGATTACCCCCCTTTTTAATGGGTATATAGCAGAAGGTTTTCTAAAATTTGATGCTTTTCCACACCTGTCGCTCACGTACCTTGTCGCATGCACCGTGCTCGGAAGTTTCATGAGGCTGTGCTCAATACGGAATGGCATTGTAATAGTAAGGGTGCATGTCCTTCACCCAATCTTACAGCTTGCAGCGGTCTTTTCACCGGGTCAGGCAGCCTTTCCAACTCTTTTTGGAATTATAATTTGTTCTAGAGTAACTGTCCTGTTAAAATAGATCATTCTCATTACACACTAGTCTCGGTTCTCGACGCTCTTTGTGTTTTTAATTAACGAGCGCACAGTCACCCGCCCGGACGCGATTTTTTCTCCCAAACGACATCCGCATATGGGTGAACGCTATGGTGTTAAGGACTTATAGGGGCACTCAATAAAGGAAACCAACCTAATGTCTTACCGTTCCCGAGAAAAGGCGAAGAAAAACCCGGCTTGTTTACATCGGACATGATGGAGTACGAATACGTTATTCGTGTTGTTCTCAGTGTACGATATACACATTGTGTGTCTCGGGAACAGCGCGCGGTGACCA